ACTGCTTCATATGTCTTGTGTCCCAAAGAATGACATGCTCATCATAACTTCAGTAAAAGATAAACATAATTACTATACACTAACAACAAGCACTTTATTTACCTACAAATAAAGTAATAATTTAAGACAAATTATTTATCTCTAGAACTATAGAAAATTAAGCTGTATTTTTTATAGTTATTATACATCATTTCTTACATATAGGTTAAAACTGGTCTATAAAATTCCATGAACTTTGATAGTTACATAACACTATATAGGTTTGATAGGTCTGTTATATTAGGTAACAGAAAAAAAATAAATTTTTTTTAAACAAACATATCTGGTATGTTATATTGGAAACATATGGACTGCTACAATACATATACCTGATGAATCATGCTTGAAAATGTAGAACATCAAAATTTATGATTAATTTATACCCAACCATTAGTCTGCTGTTAACATGTTTACTAGTCTGTTAAAATGAGAAATACAAACTTTTTTGATAGTTAAGATAAGATAGGTAAGAACACAGTTTGTAACTCAAATTTATATATTATTTAAGTTTTAACTTCAAAACGAAATACTTAAAAAAATTCTCAATTTTCATTTTTCTGTCATGTAATGCATCCAAGCTTCAATTTCTCTACTTCAGAATCTTCTATCAGAAATAGCCTACTGCAGTTTCCAACCAAGTAGGTACGTATTTTAGGAGTAATTTAGTCTTTCCAAAATAAATTATTAGTCAGCAGAATTATTTCATATGTGGCAATCATATTTTGGTGCTTTGAACACTAGAGGAATTTTTTAAACTTATTTATAGATTGTTTAAAAAGCTGGATAAATTTTAGTAATTTTGGTGCATCCTATGCTAGTAACTGATACATTTTATGTGTTCTAAAATAAATATTCAAAAGCTACACAAATCATTGTTTTGGACACCCAAATTTGTGAGAGTTAACAAGGCTTATGGGAAAACACCTAAAATTCATATGCAAAAGAACTTGAGTATACCATAAGAACTACAAATCAATGTTTTAACATAAACATTTTCTTTATTGTTATATATTTTTTAATAAAAGTAACTAAACTATAAAAATTAGGACTTTTCAGCTTTGTCTAACAAAACTTCAGTAGAATAAAACGTAAAATTTCATATGCTCACTTTCACATGAGTGTGTGCTCTATAAAACATTACACACTCATGCAATTGCTTATTGTTTATGAGTTTATGAAAGAGCTGATGAGCTCCCACTGTGAGTTACTGTTTTTGACATGAGGATTATTGCTCCAGTGGGTACAAGGTACAGCAATAAAATCATAAAATTAAAAGGAAACATATGTGAAAAGTTTAACAGTTGAAACTATTAAGATAAGTAATAACTTGTAACTTTCTGATCAATACTGCAGTCAGCACAAAGGAAAAAATGGTATTATTTATTTCATATCATATTTTTCAACTTTTCATTTTACTGTATGCTGATAATTCCTGTATAGTTAGTGTTAGTGTAAAGAAAACAGAATATAACATATACAGTTTTACTAAAAAAAACTTGATATTCATTTAAGAGGTTCTAGAGGTTATAAAAAAGAAATATGAAAATTGTACAGCAAAACGAAGAATTGTTTATTCATAGTATGAAAAATCACCTTTCCCTCAGACTGACTCAGTAAAGGCTTCAGAAACTTGTAGACAAATCTAAGTAGAAACACTTAATCAAAAATTGATTCTTTTATGTACAACAGATTTGTAATGTTTACTAAAAGCTCATTAGCTCCACAAATATACAATTACTAAATTCAGAGTTATAGCAAAAATTAGTATATACAGCTTCACAGATCCCTGGGTCAGTCAATCTGACCAAGCCCTTGAACAGCTGGCTAAAAGATGAAAAATTGGGAAATTTAGTTAAAATCAAGACTTCTAATTGTATTTTTTTACATGTTTTTGTGTACCAAATGGTCCACAAAAACTGCATATATGTCTGTGCTATCTCCACTACTGAATAGGTTCAGAACCTCTGCCTTTGGTTTATGAAGTACATCACAGACTTTATATAGTTAAACTATATATACACATGACCACAGCTGAATTCAATCAAACTGAACAGCAAAACCAAAACCTGAAAGCAGTGCATTTATATAAATGTTATAAACATATGCATATCTATATTTTGAAATAAAATGTAATTATTTGATTGGCTCTTAAATCATTGATTCAAATTCCTAGAATTTAATTTTTTATATATATATATATATATATATATATACATATATATCAAGTCATTTGGAAACCACAAATACATTAATGATTCATAGTTACTAGTGTTTAATTTAGAAGAGCTATCATCATACTTGGATTTAAAATTAAGCCAATAAGGTAATCCAAAATGTATCTTACTAGTCTGTAATGACATATCTCACAAGTATCCTAACTGTTAATGGTGTTTTGGCTATAATTACAATAATATTCACAATGTGTCTAAGTGTAACATTACATAAAACATTCTATTGTAATTCTGTTTCTTATTTAAAGCAGATGGCTACAATCTAGTGATGTGACAACAAAGTTTACCTTCCTGAGGCTAACATGTACTCTTTCTTCTTGCTTTTGTGGATACTGGTGACTCCCATGGAATGTCTACCACCAAAATAATGTTAAACAGAAAGTGAAGTGATTAGTATATGTTTGAACACTTCATGAGTTTTATATAATGTTTGTTTCTGTCATTTAAAAAACTTTATAAACTTCAACATATCTTTTTTTGTGTAAAATTCCTTTCTAAAATAATAAATGTTGGCATTAAAGCACTAATTTTGGTATTTTTCTTTACTAAAGATTCTATACACACAAAATTTGTAAATTTCAATTTTTTTTTTACAATAACAGGAAAGGATGACTGGTAATATTATGAACAAACATCATTATCATAATTAGTATTCAAGCAGTATCTTGTTGATATACATAGAATAAAACTGAATTTTTTTACAACAATAGCAGACATTTATACTTTGTCTAGAGAGGTTGTTGTTGTGTACAGAATAAAAGACCTTTGCACATGTAACTAAGATATGTTTGCAAAAAGTAATTTTGGCATGTTTGATCACTAACTATAAGAGCAGTTCATGCAACTTAGGAACATACTTGAATATTTTGACTTTGTTTTAAAAAATAATGCAATAATAAAAAAAATGGAATCTACTACTGAAAAAAAGAGAACCCTGGTTTACACAACATTTACATATTCTTCTCTCTCTCTTTATTATGTTGATTTTGGTGACTTTTTTAATTGATTGAGTTGGTTTGTTATGAATTTCGTGCAAAGCTACATGAGGGCTATCTGTGCTAGCCATCCCTAATTTAGCAGTGTAAGACTAGAGGGAAGGCAGCTAGTCATCACCACCCACCATCAAGTTTTGGGCTACTCTTTTACCAATGAATAGTGGGATTGACCAATACCTTATAACAACCCAAGAGCTGAAAGGGCAAGCATGTTTGGTGTAATGGGAATTTGACCCGTGACCTGCATATTGCGAGTCGAGTGCCCTAACCACCTGGCCATTTTTAACTGATGACCAACTGTTTGTGTACCTATGTCACACTTATATAATTAGAAAAGGTGTGATAAAATATGTGTTTTAATGCTTTCATACATGGTAAAACAGAAACTTACTTTTTACAAGTAAAAACTGGATGAATGGTTGACATCCGAATATCCCAACTTTTCAGCAAACAGTCATCTCCTCCTGAAAGTAAAAAATAAAAAAGTGATGGTTAAATAAAAATAAGAGTGCCTTTCAATAAACTTTCACAATCTGTACAGCTTACAAAATGTCATAAAGAAATTATCTTGGGATATAAATTGATAGATAATACTACAGAATATAATAAAAGTACTATTTTTTACATTATATAAGACATTAACTGAACATTATCCTGGTTTTCTGATATTATAGACTGGTTATAGTTTTCAAAAGAAACCATATATATATAACGCTTGTAAAAATATATAGTCCATTATGTTCCACATTTTAGCACCAGAAAGTACCAAAAGTTATATATATATATAACACTTGTAAAAATATATAGTCCATCATGTTCCATATTTTAGCACCAGAAAGTACCAAAAGTTATATATATATAACACTTGTAAAAATATATAGTCCATCATGTTCCATATTTTAGCACCAGAAAGTACCAAAAGGATTGATACAATATTCAATAAAACTGAATTCATATTTAAGAACAATGCATTAAAAAGAATTCTGAAATATTTCTTTCTAAACTTTTTTGTTTTTGTGACCAAGGGATAGGAATAAAATCATTTCATTATAAAAATAAATGGGTTGTCTCTTATCTACAATAAGATCCACGTTTTTAAAGTACATTTTTAAAAAAAAGTCACAGACTAATCTTTATAAACAAGTTTAGTCTAGAGAAAGAACAAATAAAACTTTACTGAAGACTTACTAATGACTAAAAATATCGGTTTAAAAAAAAAGTCCTGGACACCATCAAATTGGTTTATGATTTAACTAATATAATTAATTTTTGGCTATTCATAAAGATCAAATGATGAGGTATAATAATGTCGAGCCAACCAAGATTATGATATGGGCATTGTTTCTTAAAACATGACTTATTACCAGTTATGTCAAAAAATATGATAATGTTGTGTAGTTTCTTGAGAAAAACTTTAGTTCATGCCAAGTGTCTGGATATTGCATATATAACTAACCAAACGATTGAGTTTATCTTTAGAAATTTTGAGTTAAAAGAAGTATTATTATTTTCTATTTGTACAGCATTATGCTTAGAAACTTACTTGCAATACTGCATTTGGTCTCTTTATAAGATAGAAGGTGATCTGATAAAAACAGTATACATTAAAGTTACCAGATTGACACTTAGCTTGAAAAATTGAATTATTAGGAGAGGCTTCAACAAGTTTTTCCTGGAATGTAGAAGAAATACAGTACCATGATCCAATTGCTTAAAGTTGTTTGGGTTCAGATAATCAACTTGTTTAGTGACACTATGATTTGTAAACTGAAAAGGTTTGTGAATTACATATCAGAGGTACTAACAGCATTCAAATTTTATACCATATGCAAAGGCAGCAAGTGCTCCCTAACTTAAACAAGCCACTGCTGGATATTGCCGGTGCCAGCAAAATTCCTTTTTTTAAAGGTTTTCTTGCCTTCTAGCTATATGCTCATAAAACAATTTGTCTACACATGATGGATACTGCACTGACATCAGTGTCTATTTGAGGTAGTGCAAAACCCAGTCCAATGTCAAGTCTATGGCAAAAACTAAGTGTGTTAATAAGGGCATGCCACAGCAAATGCTTTAATACATTTTTAAGAGATTCTTCTACATAAAATTATACTTAATACCTAAAAAGAACATTTTGACCATGGTAAAAAAAGGGGAAATTAACATTAGGTTTTGTACTGATTAAATATATTTGGTAAAATCATAAAATTAAAGGCAGCTTTATAAGTTAAAATTCAGGCACAAGCTTTGTCACATCCTGCCCATATAATATTCAACTTCTCCAGCAAGTTAATATTAAAAGAAAGTTATACTGTTATGGTGTGAACACCTTTTATAAGTTGCCAAAGCATGATTATAATTAATTATACTTGTCATAATACATTAATGTTATAAAAGACTAATATTAATGTCTTATGACAAGTATAATTAATTCAAAACTTGTGTTGTTTAAAGCTAGAAAAATACAACAAAAATTCATTCTTTTTTTTTACACACTGATATTCCTCATTCTTTTTCTGTTTTCTCTCACAAAGTAGCATCCAAATTATGTCAAATTACTGTAAACTTAAAAGTAATAAAATATCTCTAACTCTTTCAATATTAAAACAAGCAATAACCCAAAATAAAACAACATGGTTTCACAGTGTGTGTTAGTTTTGGTTTTGAATCATATTTTGATTAAAACAAATGTTTTATTAACTTGACTAATAAAGATACTAGACAGGGAATTATCAATCTTTTCACAGTAAACAATTTGTTCATAGAAAGAGGTCAACGCTTTACAGAATCATTCAGAAATATCTGGATAGAAAGGCCTACACTTTCAAAACAATAATACAAACTTTTACAAATTTGATATTTGACTTGGTTTGTTAGAGTGATCCATTAATTTAAATTATAAATAACCTTTCAATTTAGGTAATGTTAAATGTTTGTATCATTAAATATTCTAGTAACTATCAGAATTTTTATTTTGATGTCAAATCCTGATCTTTTATGTTGTTCACAGGAAAACTTTAGAAATTAAAGGAGAAAACAAGAATCTTACAAAAATCATCTTGATATCCAGAAAGTATCTTAGAGAAAAAATGAACCATATATATGTAACCATATAAATGCTATTTATGTACAAGAAAATGAAAAACCAAAAAAAGGTGGAAAATAAAGATAAAAGCTTGAATAAATTATTATTTTTAAACTTCTAATAAAATTTATTGACTTCTTTCTGAAATGCAAACTAGTAGTTGATTTTATTTTTATATCTATGCTGAAAACACTAATGAATTATTTTAAGAAAAGATGCATCACAGAATATTACAATCATTAATATCAACTATTATACATTAATAGGTCATACAACATTTTGGAATTTTACCTTTACTTTCACATGTTAATTTGCTGCATAGTTTCAAGTCTGGCAGCCATGCTTAAAAGCTTATAGATACCTCTGTACTAGGTATAAGCCTTGAAACTTACACCCAAGACCTGTTCTCAGGTAAAACATTTACCTGCCAACAGTCAGTATTCTTTTCAAGATTATTGGATTGGTATACTAATATCAAAGTTTACATTTAGATACATTGATATTAGTTCCAGGATAAGAGGTTTTAAATATCATATATTTAATGGCCTTCTGTTGCATTATATTTTTTACATATTTTTTTATCCGAGCTAAGTCATTGTAATTGCTTTGAAGGAATAAAACTGTCAGAAGTTATACTACTATACACAAAAATTATTCAGTTTGCAAGCCACATGAGATACATAAATCTGATATTTTAAAAATATGATTACTCAAAAGTTATTATTTTCCTATACTGAAAATAGATTTCTGATAGGTACTTACCACCTCTCACATGTAGAGCTATTCTTGTTTAGTGCTGCTCTCCATATGCAAAATGTTTTTCACATGACAAGCCTTGAACTCCCATGATCAACGTGGTTCTACTGTCTCACACGTAAATCATCATACGACAATTCTCCACCAATAGGAGTGTGATACACCCTCCTGATGCATGTGACTCTCTGTATTCGTTTCTACTGAACTATCACTTTGAGATTAAGCAGAAAAGAAAGCACCAGTTTTTAGTGGAGAGGAAGGGTGGGAATGCAAGAGAAGGTAAGTACTTATCAGATATCTATTTTCAGTATAGGAAAATAATAACTTCTAATACAGTACATTACCCCCGCTCAAGTGTATAGCTAGAATCCCACAATGAATAAGCAGAGAGACCGGTGCGAGGAATAGAAATAAGTATTTTTTGAAAGTGTCTGAATAACATCCCCGAAGTGTGATCCCTGTGGGGAGAGGAACAGATGTGGGAAACTGTACCACTTCTGTACCAGATATACTCTGTTCCCAGTGTGAAAATAGGTGTCACATGCACAGGCATAAAGTGGGAAGAGCACAACCAAAAAGGGTTGGAATCCTAACAACAGTATACCAGAAGCTCAATCCCATAGAAGAAAGACTGTAGAAGAGCTATTTACAGACAGTAATGTAGGGAAAGCTAAAATGAATATGCTCAAAGGTGTCAAGTGGCTAGGGCATGACAGACCATATGTGGCTGGTCAACTCCAGTCCAAAACTAAGCAGTATCAGGAACCTCTGACCTATGGTAGGAGGAGGGTCCACACCATCTTCACCTCAAATTAAGTAGAACAGAAGGACACACTGTACAAACTAATCTATGAAACAGCCACATGTGCGCAAATCTACAACCAACCACAAATGACAGTAGAAAGAGATGTGCCAATGTGGCAGGTCACATCAAATTCAAACTCAATCAGACTGGCACTCCACTGCACAACATCAGTCTCAAGCAGTGAAAACACCATGAGGTGGAGTGTAAGAGGAAAAACTGTCACCCAGATCAACATTATCCTCCAGACAGGATTGCACAGAAGCCGGAGCACAAAGCCACCATCCAGGTCCCACCTCATGGAAGTGGATCGTTTCTAGAAATATATAGCAACAGAAGCTAGGTGCAATATCAACCTCTAGGACCCATCACATGGAGGTGGAGATCCTGAGGCAAGTTGAGTAAGGAAAAGATAACACAACCAACACATATGTGAGGATTTATGTTGACTGGTCCAACTCTACTTCAAAACTACTCACTGGGAACCAACATCCAGGTGATGGTAGCATGAGGGACCCTGATCAAAGGGGTGAACTGCAATGTGATGGATCTACTCCAAAGCAACATCATCCTCAGGATAGGACCACACAAAGGTTTAAGCACAACAGAAAAATCTGGGTCCCACCGCATGAAACTGGATTGCATCCATAAAATATAAGTAACCTCACCCTCCAGATAGAATCACACAGAAGCTGGGCACAACATCAACCTCTGGGACCTACTGCACAGAGGTGATGTGCATGACTGGAGGATCTCACATCATCTACACCAGCAGAACATTACCACCCTACTCTCTCCTGAATGGAAACAAACACATTCAGAAGGACTTCTCCATGGTCCACCACCCAAGTGGCTCAGAACTGGAAACTGGCAAGAACTCCCATACTACACTAGAAGAACAAAAGAGAGAAAACACCAACACTGGACACAGTGCAATGAGTGACCACATAAACCCTGTTTTGAAAAGCAGACTGCCCTAATTTATTCTATCAAAAGGACAGTAGGGATGGGCAACTATCCTTTTCTGCTTTACCCATGTAAGTCCATGGGTTAGTATGGTCCAGAATGAGCATATTAATGAAGCAAATATATCACAAGGAAAAACCTACTAGTGATCTTGTGGAATACTCCATCTCAAAAGTGTGCATTAATGGCCATAGGTGTATATCGTGGCCGTACAGTGCAGATTTGAATGACAGGAAGCATACCTGGACAGGCAATGCTTGCCACTAATCAGGATCCGAGTCCTAAATGGGCCGTGCCCCTGGTAGGGAAATATATAAAAGATGACTTACTCATTCACAGCTGCACCGAAGTTTGAAAGATGGAAACAGTCGGAAGGTAATACCCTGACAAGAAAGAAACAGCTACCCAATGAGATGGTGAGAGATGAACAACAAAGGTGAGACTCCGGGAAAAAGGGAAGGTGCCCGATCACAGAGTCCACACGTAAATCGAAAGACTCCGAAAAATTTCCAAAAACAAACCGATGGAGAAAAGGAGCCACCCAGAAGTCACAAAGATAACTGGAAGGTAGATGAACCTGTGAAAATACAATGTCCCTCCCAATAAAATCCCAACAGCAACAAACCACATGTGAATGGATAGGGCCAAAGAGAACAATGGAGCCAAGGAGGAATAAGGAGGGAAAGTGTATCTCCCCAAAACCCCTCAGGGGATCAGTGAAGTGCTTAAGAAAGGAGGTGTATGTTAGACATGTACTGTAGGAGAGCTGTAAGGGTAAGATGAAGGTGAGAAAGTGGACATGGGAGAAATGTACAGGATTATCAGGGACAGCTCCCCACATGAGCAAAATTGCCTCCAACTGCTGGGAGTCGAGAAAGGGTTGATCAGCTAGGAGATAAGTCAAAGCATAATGATAAGAAGTCCATGGAGGACAAGGCATGCTCACACCAACCCTCAACTGAAAAACAAAATGCTCAGCATGAACCCTGATGTAAGGGGAAGGAAGGAAAACAAATAATGCTAATTACAGGAGACATATAGAAAAAAGGAAGCAGTAACATATGAAAACAGAAAATGGAACATACCTGAGAGAGCATATCCAAAAAGGCAGAGTTAGGGAAACTAGAATTGGTTGGAGATGCATGGGAAGGCATGGCATAGGTAGGAGGAAGAAAAGAGTTGTCAAAATCCTCCTCATCAGGAACAGGGTAGGACAATGCAGGAGGAACCCAAACACTGTCATATAACAATCAATCTCATGACGAATGATAACAGAAAATCCTCAGGCAAGACTCCTAGACCCAAAGCCAGTAATGGTACTTAAAGTAGTGGTAATAATATCAGAAGTTGTAAAACACAAACTTCAGAAATCATATTAAACGGTGAAGGTGTCGAAAATGAGAAAAAACAAAACAAAGGTTATCGCAGCAAACTCCTACAGAAAAACTAACTGTGGCAAATGAATAAATCAAGTAAATCACTATTTCGCAAAAAGAAGAAGAAAAAGAAACAAACATGTGAAAACAGCACAAGTCAAAAACGTCTGCACTTGATCACTGCCTAACAAGAAGTGACAGTTTGATAAAATTGAATAGAGGGAGTCACATGCATAAAGAGGATTTGTTGCACTCCTATTGGTGGAGGGTTGTCGCATGATGATTTACATCCAAGACACAGTCGAACCACGTTGAACATAGGGAACATGGAAGTTCAAGGCTTGTGGCATGTGAAAATATTTTTGCGTATAGAGGGCAACACTATACAGGTGAGAAGAGGTAATATACCATATCGGAAACAAAACCATTTGTATTATTAATAGAATTTGTTATGAACTGTTATTTTAGTTTTCAGTCCTGATGATATTCAATTTTATAAAACACTGTAAAAAAACAAAAATATTTATTATCATCCTACTTTTTTCACATGGTAAACTTTTTAAGTCTAATGTTAAGTCTTTATCATTATGTTATTAAGATTGACATTTCCTGTTAATCAAAATTTAACAAACCTGAAAAAACAACACTGGGATCAAAATAGTTGGCTGCACCAATCCAACATTCAAAACTGTGAGCATTCCATTGATGAAGAATGTCTAAATTTGTCTCTGTAAGTTGTAGTACAGTCATCTGTCCATTTGAGTCACTTACTACCACCTTTGGATCAAGGCTTTACAATAAAATAAAAAAGATTTAATCAAATTTCGAGAGCACACAATGTATTCAGTCTTAAAAAATAACAAGAAATCCCATTTCTTTTCAAAGATTTTTAGGGGCTGAATGCAATAAAACCCATAAGAAGCATACGTATTTCTAGACAATTTTTGATCTTTCTGGAAGTGACATAAAATTATACATCTCTCTTTACATAAAAAATTTTATGATCTGGGATTTTAAATTACTGAACTTTTCTGAGTTATATTTTTGTCTTCGTTTATTGAGTCCATGAAAGTAATTTAATTGGTTTACCTAACAAAAATATATTTTTTTCTATCCATTTATCCACCTATGTATAACCCACAGCTAGTACATAAATACAAACATAATAACAACCAAGATGACAGTAGGCTATGGACATTACCCATTCACAAAACTATTATTTTCAAGGACCTAGTTTGCAAATTTTAACAAAACATGAAATCCACAGAAATTACATAACTGAAGTTTTATTATATTTTTTCTAAAAAAAATGCATTAACAGTTCTACAAAATGTTCTAGTAATAACAGCACACTCAAGCTATGGAGAAAAAAATACTGACAAATAAAAACAAACATTATGAAACCAGCCATTAAAGGTCGTTTTTTGTGAAAACAAGATAAACACAATGATAAGTCTTGTCATCAATAAAAATATGAGATGTGGAAGCAATGATGTTAGACTATTAAAGACTTTTCCAAGACATTCTAATAAAAACTCTTGATTTTCCAGGATTTCCAGTACTGAATGTCTTTATATAATTCCATGACTTTCCAGGATTTTCATGGTCTGAGCAAACTCTGTAAAACTTAAACCCACTCTTCATTTTTCATGAAATTATACTTTCCCACATCTAAACTCTAGTAAAGTGTTGGCCTCAATTAATAAGCCAATAACTTTGGTAGAAAAATAAATATGTTTTAATTGGAGCCTAGCCTGTCTTTTCCCAATCTTAAGTTTGTATCTTCTTGTGCCATTATCTTCAGTATGTAGCACAAAGAAGTTGGGCTTTTGTCCTTTTGATCTCCCCATCCCAGATATCCTGTAATCTTCAATAAGATCACCTCTTTCTTCCATTCGCTACTTGAGAGAAGTAAGTTAAAGATCTTAACTTATCCATATAACTTAACCCTACCAAAGTCATCCTAGTGGTCCTATTAAGAACTCTTTTTAATAAGCCAATATCCTTTTTGTATTGCAAGTAAGGTCTAACTAGTGATTTATATAAAAAGATTATTACCTCCTCCAATTTATATTCAATCCAACTATAAACATACCCTAAAATTCTATATACTTTGTTGCAAGCAACAGAGCACTACCTTGCTTGTTTGAGTAAATAACTCATCGTTCACTATACTAAGATCCTCTTTTTAAGACACTATCAAGTGCATTCCCATCCACATTATATATGTGATACAAATTATGATAATCCAAATAAATTATCTTGCACTTACCATAATTAAAGGTCATTTGCCAAATATCTGGCCAACTAACTAATTGACCTAAATCATTCTGTAGTACCTCAACACTCCTAATTCAGTTAGAATACCCATTCACAAAATTCCCTAACTTGCTAATTATGCCCCTATCAGTATCATAAACATATGTAAGACAAAACAAAGGCCCAAGCACTGACCACAAAGGCACTTCACAAGTAACAAGAGTCTAGTTTGATGGGACTCTTTCAATAACAACCATTTGCTTTCTCCTTTCCAACCATCTTACAGTTCAATTCACTAGTCTTTCACCAACCCCCACTGATTAGATTTTTTTAACTAATTTTTTTGGGGGCAGATCTTATCAAAAGATTTTTGAAAATCTGAGCACACCAAATCCACATCCTTTTCATCACCTAGATAATATCTAATATCCTCAAAAAAGTTCAGGTTAGTAAGGCAAGGTTTCTCTTTTAATGAATCCATGTTGATTTTCTTTTATGATACCATATTTCACTCAATTATTTTTCTTTTATCAGACTACTTAGAATTTTCCTCACTACAGAAGTAAGACAAATTGGTATACAGTTTTCACATCAACTCTCATCATACCCATGAAAAATAAATATAACATAAGTAATTCTCCAATCCTTAGGCACTTTCTCACCGTCTTTTGGCCTATCAAAAATGAAAGATATAGTTCAAATATCTATGACTTCCTTTAATATCTTTGGAAGAATATTATATGGTCTTGGAGCATCATTGATAATTTTTTAATAATTTTTTTTACCACCAAGGGAACAATACACACATGATTAAGGTTAATCCCAAAATCTTCCAGAATGCCAAGAGTCAGGAATATTGCTAAAAATCAGATAATATAAAAATTGTTTTTATGTGAAGTTTATAAACATACCTTGGTAAAAAAGTTGTTTTATTAAGTTTTCATGTAAAATGTTGACATCTGCAAAAATGCCATGCCCAGATGCAAAGAGACCAGATGCTGATAATAAATGGGCAGTTTTTTGACTGGAAGAAAGTGACTAGTAGGTTCCTTTATGGCTACTAGAGCTTATATTAAAATTTTGAGAAAGGTTTTTATATATCTTGTTTATGTAATTCAGATGAATCTGTATGACTTAATGAGTGAATGAGAACATAGATACAATTATAAATTACAGATTTGGGGTTTAGAAATTTATAAAGAAATGTATTTTGTACATGAAATATAAACTGATGTTATGGAAAAAGATCTAGGTATGATTACTGATAAGAATCTTGAAATTTTTGACTGAATGTTTGGCTGTTATGTAAAAAAAAAAGATAACAAAAAAAGTAGGTTTGGTATGAAAGAAACTTAGAATGTGAACCTAAGAATATTAACCTTGGTAAGACTCATTTTGAATATTGTATGCAGTTTTGATCATCCTATTACTGACTATTTGAAATGAGTACAGAGATGGATTAACATAACGATTCCAGGTTTAAAAATGTAAACTGCAAATACCAGTTTATTATAAAGATTAGATTCTTTTCTTTTCTAAAGCTATAAGGGCCACATGTGACTCAATTCACATATTTAGGTCTGTTAGAGATGGATAAACGTGTCTACTGGCCTGTTTGGGTGGTAAAATGAGTACTTGATTATTAGAAGATAACTAAGCTTTAGAAGCCTTGATCCAAACTTGTTCTTTGGCAGAATTACTTCTCTTTTCAGTTATAAACTTAAGGAATAATTTGTCTGATGATGTGATGTATGCTATTATTTGAAATTATCTTGCACATTTTTTGGATGGGTATATAGCTATGACGGGCTTTATTTATTTTGGGACAGTGTTTCAGTGTTGTTTAGTAGGTAGAGGGATGATCTCAAACAGCCAACTGGCCTTGAGTACCTTGCTCGTTCTGTGAAGCTTTCTGGAACTCAAGTTACATTACATGTATCAGGTTACCCTTATCAAAAATAACCAAACACTTTACTACAAAACAAAAATAATGAGTTTGTTGGCTGAAATCTACCTTCTAACAATTTCTGATAGCATGCCAGCTTTCAACATTTTAAAGTACCACACAAGAGATTTCAATCTCTTACTAACAACAGCAACCACACTAATAGGCCTGTAATTTCCCAAGTCATTCCTTTTCCCCACCTTTCTAAAAACTGTGATCATGTAAACAATTCTTACTTTCCAGTTGTGAATTTAGGCATTAAAAGTAACATAACTTTATGTAGATCAAAATCACTGCCACTGTAAATATTTAACCAACAGAACCTGAAATATAGTGAGTAAACTGTAACACAACAAATATTTGTAACCTTACATCAGAATGGTTAATTTTGATCCACTTAAAAATTATATTTACAAAAGGAATATATGCAAACAAAGTAAAATACAGAAATCCTGTTATTATAAATCTTTAAAGCCTGACTACTTCTTGTAAATGTCTATATTGTTTGGAGAAAAAAAAAGCAGCTTTCCAGGGTAGGAATGTAGGCTAGTATTCTATTTTCTAATTTGCATAACATACAATATTTTTTTGCAAATCAGATTCCAATTTTTAAAATCTGAAATTCATGTCAGGTGACAAGTGATCTCCAAAGTTTTGATGGCATCCCATGTCTGAAATTAAGGACAAAAAAGCATTCAAATATCACAGTCATCATGGATGTCCTAAGGTGATATGTCTGACCTCAAGAAACACATTCTTAGTTTTCAAATCATGAATGTACTTTAATAAGCTAATCAGCATTTCTGTAACTGCAAGAAAAATAGCAGAGGTGTCACATACAGTAAAGAAACAACAGGGAAGGGGGTTGTAGTGATAAGTGTGTGGAATATGAAAAAAAAAAAAAATATATATATATATATATATATATA